TACAAAAGAAACAAGACTTTTAGCTTTTCAGATTTCAGGCTTGGGTTCACAAGGCTCATACCCAACTCACAAAATTATTAAGTTTCAAACTTAAACCGGGGTTAGACTAAGCTCACAATTTAATTCATAATTATACATAATATAAGTTTAATATTCTTGTATTATTATAAGATTATCCAAGAACTATTAATTTTTTAAGTTACAATTAGGGATGGCAACGGGGCGGGGTTGGGGCGGGGGACCCCTCCCCCATCCCCCGCCCCGCTGCCTACAAACTCCCTCCGACCCGCCCCATCACCCATCCCCCGCTCCCCCCGCCCCGCCCGGCTTCCCCCGCGGGGCTAATAAAAATTTGTTATATATTTTATTATGGTTAAATTTTAGTAAATAATCAAGTATTAAAATATTAACACATCATCAAATTATTATTCATTATAATTTTATGATTGAAACTTATAAAAACAATCAAACAAAAATTATTTTAATACAATCCAATATGATGAAATAAATATATCTAAAGTAGTCAAGTTTTCACTTTTGGCACAAATACAATCACTAATTTATTATTGTGCTTGTGCTTTTTTTAAGAAAAAAATGTTATTATATTAAGTGTGATTAGGAATTTAGTATAAATGTATTAGTAAATTTAGTATAACCAATTAATAATTTGTATTAGTACACATATATAATTAATAATATCAATTATATTATATATACTAATAGACATTATTTAATACATATAACTAATAATGTCATTATCATAAGTTTGTAACTAATTAAATTATATATTATATATAATTATATACATATATATTTTTTATATATTTATTTTTTTAAAGCGGGTGGCGGGGCGGGGGTACACTTCCCCGCCCCATTAGCATTGCCATCCCTAGTTACAATATGTATTGTTATAAAGTGCATATATTATGTGCATCCAATTGTTGGGGCCAAGTTTTAATCAAGCTGAGCTTTAATTAAGTTCAGACTCAACTCATATTTAATTTGACCATAATATTTAGCTCCAATGTTCGCACAACTTAGTTAAAGATAAGGCTCAGTCTATTAACATTGCCAATTTTTGGGCACACAGCAGTAACATGAAATAATAAAATTAAGAAATTAATTATTAATACGAGACAACTAAAAACTTTCATACAAGAACGGAAATTAATGAGAGAAATGGCGTTTGACATGGATCCGGCTTTGAGGGCCTTGAGATTCAGCGGACTGGTCAGTGGCACATGTGCTCGTAAATTGTTTCACCAACCCAATTTTCGCGCATTCACTCGTTGAAACGAATATAACTAGAAAATAATAACATTAAACAAAAATATTTAAAAAATACGTACTAAGGAAAACTAAGATTACTACCCAAATTTCAAATCATTTTGGATCCTGTGTTACATCTATGGTTGTTACACCCCTATTGTATTGTTTGATTGGTGTAAATCTTGCAATATTTGATGTACCTTCAATTCCTAGTTTTGGTGTTACATCATTCTTTCAAATTGTACCGTAGAAACTTTAAATTTAGATGCGGGGACGAGTGTTTATATATATATGTAATATTGTATTGTTTGATTGGTGTAAATCTTGCAATATTTGACGCACCTTCAATTCCTAGTTTTGGTGTTACATCCCATGTTAGATCATACTTTCAAATTGTACCGTAGAGACTTTAAATTTAGATGCGGGGACGAGTGTTTATATATATATATATATATATATATATATATATATATATATATATATATATATATATATATATATATATATATAATAAAAAATTTGGGCGGATTTGTAGGGATCATAAATCGTTTATAGAGATTATTACAGATCTTTGGTAAAGAAGTAATTTTTTCTTATCAATTGAGCCAACTTGCTTTAACATAATTACCTTATTTTATTTTCTAATTCTTAGCGTTCGGTTTTAAGATCATGACAGGTAGAATGATGAGGACCAATAACCAGAACGACTAAGTGCTAAAAACATCTCTACTGTAAGATGATTATTAATTATCATATTCCTTTTTAATGATTTGCGTGAGGTTTTGAATCAAATAATGGATGCGATTTATCAAAAGTACAGACATATTGAGAACAAATGCATGCATTAGTGATGGAGATATAAAAATATTACTTGTTGTATGCATTGTGCTCTTAACATGATTTTGGTGACATTGAGCGCATCCATGCGAATTAATTACCTATCATTTTTTTTGAGTGAAAGGTTTTGAATTTAGAATCTCAAACTTACAATCTTTCGCACCTAATCACCTAACTCAATCCATCCTACCTAGCTTGATTACTATAATTACAATAATTTGTCCTTGTGCTGACAGCAGATATGGTTTTTTCATTAGTGCATCCATTCTTGTAATCTTAGTTTTATTATCTTAAGGATTAATCTTTCCTATACTGACAGTGTATATACTATCAGCGTTAGATGAATGATAACTATGCAAAATTTGAATTTGAAATTTAACTTTTACATAAATGTCATGAATCAAACGGTGATAGTGTATACACTTTCAGTGTATATAAAATTTACTCTTATCTTAATGCTTTGAATGAGGTTTTGAAGATCATCACAAGGTGCAAGAATGCACTAGACCAATAATTGCAACTACTACATGCTAATCACATCTACAATACACGATGATTCTCTTGTTTTATATTTAATGACGGCTTCCATAGTTCGTATACATTTATTTTCCGCATTCATCGAGAATCAAAATGATAAACTCCTGGCAACTACTTATTGTGGATGTCTCTATGTTTATTGTTGAAGTCCTTTCGCGGAAGTCATGGTTTTCTTTATATTAATTCATGATCCTGACTATTTAATTTCCTTGAGTTGAAATTTTGGCTGAAAAATTGTTGAATACTTTACGTGTCTAATACGACAACTAGCCTTCACATTAGAAATTGGTAATGTTAAAATAGTTGACAAGTTAATGTAACTGGGCAAAATGTCTAATTGGATGTTTGGATGTGAGGAAAAGGCTGGAAAGACCATAAGAGATCACCTAATGCTATATTTGCGCTTTATATTATTCACCTGAAATGAACTAAAGTGTCTTAACTAATTAAATTTGGTTGTAGGGGCAATTGAATATCAACACATCAACTAATTCAAGTTAAGGTTTTCGTTACCAGAGGTAGTGTTTTTGAGTTCTTCTCAAGCTACTTGAATTCTAAGGTAAGGATTTTTCCACAGTATAGTTTTCATAGGTGAAAGTCGTGTGTAATATGTACAAGTGCATATTCATTTCTAGGCATGGCTGGTTCTTCCAAGAATTTTGAAGACGAAAATGTAGTTTTCTAGAGATATTTCTTTTGCTAAGGATGGAGATATAATAGTTGACTAGTCAACAAAGATTTTCTTCAATGATGATTGCTGCGCACTTCTGGTCATCATTTGGTTAAGACTATAGTTGATAATATCCAGAAGGTAAAGTAGCCTATATGTTGTCCTCAAAATAGTGATATCAATTATTAAAAGTCCAAAATTTTCAATTAGTAGGTTTTTTTTAAATCAAAATTACCGGGAACTAGTGAGGGGTTAGGCATATGTCCAACCTGTTTATTAAAAAATTTCAAAGAGAAAATGAAAAGGAGGATATACCGCCTAATTGTGACTAACTAAGAACTTTACAAACTTCAAATGATCTCAGCATACTCCACAATAATTCGGCAGAGTATTTGACTTGAAATCTTGTCGTGTTGCTATTGTTTTGCTAGTTTTTGAATACTCCTTTCATTTCTTGGCCTTCTTTGAGATCACTAGGCTAAACGAATCGTCATTAAAATCTTGGTCTCTATCACTTTATGTGTGATCTTATTCACCATTATTATCGGTGGCACTTTGTAGAACACTTCAACAATTACCTCCAAAAAGTGGTTTGTTTAGTTTTAGTTGCAAACATGTAATATTGTAACTGAGTTTGTAATTGTGCACAATTTATGAGATTGAACACACTGATCAGAACATTCTTTCTGTTCATGCCTTTTTTCCTTTTGAAAATTAAACTTTTACCAACCAGAATAACATCTTTTTTTCTTTAATCGCCATATTCAACAATTTGATTGTTCTCTTCTTCCAGTTTCCCATTTTAAGGATGCAAGGCTATGTTCTTAATGCATAGATCTTTGATCATCTTATAAGAATCTTTTATGAAGCAACAAATTCATCGTATGTAGGCAATTCATTGATTTCACATTCAAGTTTACATTATCCTTCAACCATCGCTGCAAACATCCCTCACATTCAAATTCATGGTCTGTGAATTCATCTGCATGGGGTGATCTCGTTTTGATCTCTCAAGGACAAACTTTCTTCGCAGGACGAAAGCTCCTTCTAGGTCAACAGTCTTAGTGTTTGCTTAGGCTATGAATCACGATCACTGTTTCATGTTTCCGAGATTATCAAAAAGAAAATTTGTTTTTGGAAATTGAGTTTTTTTCAGGGTTTCTGTTTTGTAATTTTGACAAATGCCATTTTGGCCAATGTTCATTCTTGGGACAAACACTAAGAGTTTCCATTCCAACGGTGAAGTCATATTGTTGATTAATAATGTTCTTGAGAACACATTCCAAGAAATTTAGGCTTTGATCACTTGTCAAATTGTTGTAAGTTACAAAAACTTTCTTTTTATGACAAAAAACTAATATAGTAAAAAAAAACAATAAGTATGATTTTATGTCACAAGGAGGTATAGTCTTACGTCATAAAAATTTAGTTTTAAATATTGATCTTGTGATCCCCACTTACAAATCACACAAGGGTGACCTTCATTCTTTTGACTCCCTTGTAACTTGTAAATGAGGGTCACTATTTACGTAATTACAAGATCAACTGTGACTTGTAGATAAATGTTACGCTACTATTTGTGGCTTTTTTTAAAAAAAAAATTTATTTTTTACTTAAAACCACACAACAATTTAACAAGTCACCAAGGCTTAAATTTTTTATAATGGCACAGCGATCGCAGCGTTTGTCAGGGGCATGACAAGAGATGATCGGTTGCAAGTGAAAGGATCTCTTCAGGAAGAATAGCAATTTCATCCTCCAGCATGTTAATCCATGCTTCTATTCCATCACCACATCTTGTACTCATCAAAATTACCACATTATTCATTGGAACAGCTGAAGTGCAGACCACAACAGGCTTACCCCATCCATAGTCCACTTCATAAACTGGGAATCCACACCAACTGGAGAAACAACAAGAGCCCATATCTTCTTCAAAAAGTGGTTTCATTTCATTACTCAAGGTATTTAGATATGGCATCCCACTCTGAACATTCTTAATGAATTCATCATTGACTTTTGTAAATGCTGTCCTCAAGTGCCATACCAGATCATGAAGTTCTTGATTTTTGTCAGACACTAATAGGGCAGATGTGGTGACAAAAAGGTTTCCAAAGGCACACAGATGATCAAAAGCCGGCAAGCTCATTCTGGTTCTCAAATTGACAGTATGGTATGCGGCAAAAGTTTGTTTAGTATTATCAGCTTTAGCCTTTGTCAATCCAATAAAATGCTTCCAAATAAAAGCAGAAACAGCTTCCACCGAGTGGGATCCCTCACCAGCGAACCCATGGCAGCAGAGGAAGTAAGTTCTTTAAGTGCTGCCAACTTTTCTTTGTTGAACACTAACCGCTTTGTCACCATCTTTTCATTCTTTACCAGTTGAAGAGAACTAGCAATCTTGAAGTTTAGCTGAGGAAAACGATGGCCTGCTAAGTCAAAACTGGGTGGCAGAGTTCCCTCAGCTTCGCAGCGATTTGTGGCAGCCGATGATAAGTGAATATTTAACGTACATTTTGTACAAATTTGGCATGAATTTTTGGTATGTTTTGAGAAGATTAAAGCCATATTTGAACTCTTTTGGTGATAATTGCTTAAATATTGTTTAAGTGTTCAAAACTTGATAAATGAGTGGATTAATGCGTTAATTTTGTGAAATTGTGAAGGTTATTGATGTATGAAATTCATGCACGAGCTGAAAGAAATGTAAGGATCGTCTAGAGGACAAAGTACAAAAGAAATTGGGAACAAAAATGTAGAAAAAGGAAAGAAGTGAAAAACTGGAAAAAAATTGATCAACACGGATCCGAGCTCGGATCCGTGTAAACAAGTGGGATCCGAGCCCTCGTCTATACTTCTGGAGGAGTGTATCCGAGGTCAGAACGATCCGACCTCGGATCCATCATGGAAAGTTCTCGGATCCACAAATTCGAGCCCGGATCCATTATCACCCCTCAGATCTGGGGCTCGGATCTGCCTCTCTCCTCAGCAAGTGGCACAGCCATTTTTCTTTACATTTTTCATAACCTTTCCAGCTATTTTGAGGGACAGAAATCGGTGGCACATGTTTCTGCAACAAAAGAGAAGACCAAATGAGTGTAGACAAAAAGAAACATCATATCTTTGACTTCTTTTTACAAAATCTGAGTGGAGGAAATTATGAAGGAAAAGAGAGACTTTCTACCACTTTTTATGCAGAAACACAGGAGAGAGGTGAGGGGATTACCATACATAGCTAGTTTTTCATCTTGTAACATTTTTCTCTCTAGATAGGAGTTTTTGGAGAAGCATTTTTTTGGAGTGTTTCACTTGTAATCATATTGTGCAAGAGTATAGCAGGAATTGGAGAGCTTCACCTTCAATTGGCTAAGCTTTCTTTTATCTTTCTTATACTTGTACTTTATGATGTTTTGCATTAATAAACTTGTGAGTTTGATTGTTAAATCATTCATGAGTAGCTAATTTTTTTTATCTAGGGAGTAGATGAAACTTATGGCTAAATAATATGAATTGAATGTAATTTACACTTGTTATATCTTGTATTAACTTGTCTACTTGTGTAGCTGTGATTACTTGTTATTGATTGATCACCAATAGCTTGTTTATAGTTGTTATTGTTCAATGAGAATTGATAATAACAATGGAAACATATGAGTAGAGCTTGAGTTGTATGTTCATGAAAATAGAGATACATTTAGGTGGATTTGTAGACTACAGCATTATACTTTCTCTGCTCAAATTAATTGTAAGTCTAAATAATAGAGAAAACAAGGGCTTAATAATTGTTTAAATTGCTCCTCGTGGGATCGACCCGATACACATCTTGTACTACAATTGCGACCTGTATACTTGCAGTCCAACGGGTGTAAAATCGGAATTAAACTTGCATTGATATAAAAATTCCGTCAATTTTTTGGCGCCGTTGCCGGGGAGCGGCAATATTAGGGCCTAATCATCTCTATTAATTTAGATATTTTCATTATTTTTATCCAAGTTGTTGAATTAAAACTGCAAAATTTCTCTTGTTTTTATTTGTAGTGTATGCACCGATCAAATCGCGAAGTTGCACATTTCGATCCTGAAATTGAAAGAACATTAAAAAGACGGAGGAGGAATACATCACATCAAGAGAAACAAGAGGTTTGGCAGCCAATAGAAGATATCTTGATAGAATTACAATTTGAGGAAGAAATGGCAGAAAATGAATCAAATAGGAGAATTCTGCAAGATTTTGCTTTATCGGGAGCACAAGGTTCTCAAACTAGCATTGTAAGGCCAACGGTAAACGCTAATAACTTTGAGATAAAACCATCACTGATTCAAATGGTTCAACAATCTCAATATGGAAGTAATGCTACCAAGGATCCAAATTCTCACTTGTCAACATTTCTTGAAATTTGTGATACAATTAAGTTTAATGGTGTTAGTGAAGATGCAATTAAACTTCGATCGTTTCCATTTTCACTAAGGGACAAGGCCAAGGTTTGGCTACAATCTCATCCTCCAAATACTTTTGAATGAATTAGCTAAGGCTTTGCTTAATAAATTCTTTCCACCTGAAAAAATTGCTAAATTGAGAATGGATATAACTAGTTTCTCTCAACAGGAAGGAGAGACATTGTATGAAGCTTGGAAGCGTTATAGAGAATTACAACGAAGATGCCCTCATCATGGTCTACCCGATTGGCTAGTAGTCCAAACATTTTACAATGGTCTCACCTATCCAACAAAGATGCATGTAGATGCTGTAACGGGAGGAGCTTTGATGGGAAAGACAGTTGAGGAAGCTCAGCAATTGATCGAAGAAATGGCTGCTAACAACTACCAATGGGCAAACGAACGAGGTAATTCAAGGAGAACCGCAGGTATGCTCAAAGTAGACACCTTGAATATGTTAAGTGCAAAAATGGATAATGTGGTTAAGATGCTTAATAGGCAAGTTGGTTCTAGTTCTAATCAAGGAGTAGTTGTTGCATGTTGTACCACTTGCGGCGGAGATCATGATGATTTTATGTGTTCTAACAGTGAACAGGTTCAATATCTCAACAATTACAACCGTCCACCCCAAAACAATCCATACTCCAATACTTATAATCTAGGATGGCGTAATCACCCGAATTTTGGATGAAAAGATCAAGGGAACCAACAAAAACCAGTTAATCCACCGGGTTTTCAACAAAAGCAACCACTGCATGAGTCCAAACCAACTTGGGAATTGGCAATTGAAAAGCTAGCCAATGTATCAAATGATAAAATTGAAAAGTTAGCTAGTGCCACTACTCAACGGTTTGAAAGAATTGAGGGAAGAATGGACCAACTCACCAATATGTACAGGAATGTTGAGGTCCAATTAGGCCAAATTGCTAATGCGGTTAATAATCGCAACCAAGGGGATTTACCTAGCAAGACTGAGGTGAACCCAAGGGAGCATGTGAAGGCTATAACCCTCTGTAGTGGTAAAGAATTAGTTGAGCCGCCGGTAATTGGAAGTGGAAGAGAGATTGAAAGAAGAGAAAATAAGAAATTGAATGAGTTAGGAGAGGAAAGCAAGGAAGTAAAAGGGAAAGAAAAGATGGAGGAAAATGAACTACAAATGGAAGATGCAACACCAATTCCTCCACCGGTGCCATTCCCTCAAAGATTGAAGCCTTCAAGAAATGACAAAGAATTTGAGAAATTTGTCAACATTTTTAAACAATTACATATTAACATTCCTTTTGTGGATGCTATTTTGCAGATTCCTTCATACGCAAAATTTCTCAAGGAGATAATGACCAAGAAAAGGAAGTTGGTAGATAGTGAGACAATTGCATTAATGGAAGAATGTAGTGCAATTATACAAAACAAATTGCCACCCAAGTTGAAAGATCCAGGGAGTTTCACAGTTCCTTGCACTATCGGTAATGTAGAATTTTCTAAAGCACTTTGTGACCTTGGTGCAAGTATGTCATTGATCCCTTTAACTGTGACTAGGCAATTGGGGTTGAAAGAATTGAAACGTACTAACATTTCCTTGCAATTGGCTGACAGGTCTATTAGACATCCAATGGGTATATTGGAGAATGTGCTCATTAAAGTGCAGAAATTCATTATTCCTGTCGATTTTGTTGTTTTAGATATGGAGGAAGATGTTAATGTACCTATTATACTTGGTAGACTATTTCTGGCCACTGCAGGTACAATAATAGATGTCAAACGAGGTAAGTTTAAGTTTCAAATCGGTGAAGAGGAAGTGGAATTTGATTTGAGTAAAGTGGAGAAATATCCCTCTTTTACCGACCATGTTTATTCAGTCGACATATGTGATGAATTGGCATTAGAAATGAGTCAAGTAAATCTTGATAATGATTCTCTTGAACTTTGTCTTAATGGTATAAGTATACAAGAGGAACAGATTGAAGAAATGACTGAATTTTTGCAGACATAGGTTCCTTATAAAAGGAGAAATGCATATGAGGAGTTAGGACTGAGCAAAGGGCTACCTCCACCATCATGTGAGCAAGCACCGCAGCTTGAACTTAAGCCGCTGCCTAAGCACCTCAAATATGCATTTCTTGGAGAAAAAGAGACACTGCCTGTGATTGTAAATTCAACATTAGATGAGGAACAATTAGACAAGCTTTTACGTGTTTTGAGGAAGCATTTAAAGGCTATAGGATGGACAATTTCTGATATCAAAGGAATTAGTCCAACTATTTGTATGCACAGGATTTTATTGGAAGAGAATTCTAAACCAGTGGTTGAGACTCCAAGAAGGTTAAATCCAAACATGAAGGAAGTGGTAAGCGTAGAAATCTTTAAATAGTTGGATGCAGGTATAATTTTTCCAATTTCTAATAGTGTGTGGATTTCTCCTATTCATATAGTGCCAAAGAAAGGGGGGATAACCATAGTATATGGTAAAAATGATGAAATGTCCCTCTAGAGTTGTGGTTGGTTGGCGAGTCTGTATTGATTACAGAAAACTGAATGCAGCTACTAGAAAGGATCATTTCCCTCTTCCTTTTCTTGATCAAATGGTAGAAAGATTGGCCGGATATGAATTTTATTGTTTCTTGGATGATTTTTCAGGATACAATCAAATAGTCATTGCATCGGAAGATCAAGAGAAAACTACATTCACTTGTCCTTACGGTACTTTTGCATTTCGAAGGATGCTTTTTGAACTGTGCAATGCACCGGCCACCTTCCAACGATGCATGATGGTAATTTTCTCTGATTTTAATGAGAAAATTATGGAAATCTTCATGGATGATTTTTCTGTATTTGGATCTACTTATGATGATTGTCTTAACAATTTAGATCTAATTTTACAGAGATGTGAAGAAACAAACCTTGTACTCAATTGAAAAAAATGTCACTTC